TTTACTGTCGATTGCCCCTTGCCTGCCTGCTGTCAGAAGAGCCTGCTGGGGGTAGGAGCTGTACACTAACTGGAAAACCAAAGAGGGCCAAGGCCTATGCTGATATAGTACCTTTATCTGCCATATCCAGCCGAGATTGCCTGGACTTACATTTAACAAGAGTTTTGTGAACATATATTTGTAAATAGTGTATCTATCTATCTATCTAGGTAGATGTACATGTTTTATAAATTTATTGACACTGCACTGTAAAATTAAATCTGTAAACAGTTAAACATATTTGGATGTCCCTGGTCTCTGCTCTGCTCTGCTCTGCTCTGCTCTGTAGGGGAGGGAGGCAAGCTGGTCTGAAGCTAGGCAGTCATGCTCCCACAGCACACTCACACTCACTAACTTTGCTTCAATTGAAGAGGGTGTACCACTCGCACACCACCCGGGCTACATATATATATCAAATGTTTATAGCAGTAGGCCAGTAGAATATTCCAAGAATCCATGAAAGCCTTTCAAACCAGTTTTTGCCAGTTTCTTGTTGTGTTTTCAGTAAAGAATTCAGAAAATCAGCACATCTCAAAGGCTGCTTCTGCTAAACCTGACAGAGAGAATTGACTCACTGGGTATCAACAGGATTATCTATCTTCACTTGGTTTTCTGATATATGTCTATGCCTAGCACAAAAGGAACTTTGTAGCTTTTAGCACCAATTGAGCGCTAGAAAAAAGCATTACCCAAGACCAGGCAGCCTTTCAGCATGCACAGCCTGAAGACTTTTGTGTTTAATTAGAAATTCTGGATCGTGTGTGTTTTAAAGACACTTTTGCCTCATCCCTCCCTTTCAATCTCTGTTCCTATTCAGTCCACCTGACTCCTGTCTCCTGTAATCCACTGCTCTCCGTCCCTGCTTCTAGCTACTCTTGCTCCTCTCTCTGGTCCCTGCACTTTTACAGCACAGATAGTGCCTTGCTTCCTAGTTCTGGGGCTGGACATGACACTTAGAGGAGTCATTACTGGGAATGCCCAAGACAAATACTTTTGTTTGCTTTTAATCTGTTCATGTGTAATGTGGCAGGACATAGACCACTGGTTCTCAGCCTTCTTAGACTCAAGGCATCTCTTGTTACGTTCAAGGCACTGCTTGATAACTTTTGTCAATTTAGCAACACCACTATTTCTAAAACCAGTTTAATTATTTGAGGTCTTACCTCCTTGCAGAGGAGACAGGCAGTGGTGGCAAGGGAGCAGGTAGGCAGGAAGAGCCTGAAATTACCCTTATCAGCTTATCTCTACACACCTTGCATATCTCCTTACCTTTCCTAGAGCACCCTTCAAAAGATCTTGTGATACCCAAGGTGCTCAGGCACCCTGGTTGAAAAGACTGACATAGACAGAATTTGAAATTGGGGAGTCAAACATATGGCTGCCTACAAACTAATCAGGGGAGATCAACAGCAAATAGGTAGAGCCCTTTTCTCCCCAGCACCACCTGTGATGACAAGGAACAATGGTAATAAGTTGATGGAGAATAGGTTTAGGTTAGAGATCAGAAGGCAATATTTTACACTTAAGGTGGCCAAAATCTGGAACCAACTTCCCAGGGAAGTGGTCCTTGCCCCTACCTTGGGCAAATTCAAGAGGAGGTTGGACAATCACCTGTCTGGGGTCTTGTGAACCCAGCATTCGTTCCTGCCTGTGGCAGGGGGTCGGGCTTGATGATCTGTTCAGGTCCCTCCTGACCCTAGCTACTATGAAACTATGAAACTACTATAAATAGATAACAGTCACTTGGTAGTCTGGTTGTCAAGACAATGTACCTTCAAGCAGTCTTCTCCAGCCCAGTGTGAAATAATGGGACTTTGACAACTTCTCTCAGGTGACCATCCTTTATTCTTGTAGATCTCAAGATCTGGAAATGTTTCCTACTGCTCAGTCTATATTTTCTTAGTGCTTAGCTTCCACCCATCATGCTGAGTTCTAAATAATTCCCCTCCTTTCTCAGTATTAGCATCACCTACACCACTAACATTGGTGTCAAATGACACCAGAATGAGTGTATATCTGTGTGTGCTTGAGTATTTTGGGTGATGTAGCTATGCTAAGCAAGTTAAGCTTGTACATGACTTCCTATTACAAAACCCTGCTTTCAGTTCTGAGGATATATTGCCTCAGAAGTGCTCTCTCAGAGTAGTAGACTGGCATGGTAATTACAAGACATTTGAGAGTTTTACCTGATTGATTTACGGTTTGTTTTGGCTAGATTTTCTTTAGTCATTAAGGAATTCAGCATATTTCCATTGCTCCCCATTAAAATTTAAAAGAAGAATATATCCAATTCATAGGGCATATTCTTTGACAGATGCTTTCATATTGAAATGGAAACTTAAGGAATGTTCTTGTGTTATGTGTTTAATGATATGGATGATTCTTTCTCATGTACATATAAAAAGGTTTTGCATAATAAATTAAATAAGTCTGTGAGATCATAAAATGTTACTTACCCTTTTTTTTTTAAAATAAGGAATTATACTTGTGAAGAACAGAAAGGAAGTAAAATAGAATGACATTCAGGGTCCATTTAATCTAAGTTCTAAATTTGTATTGTGATTTTAAATATAACAGGCGACATGTCAGAAACTGTTATATATTGTTCATATGAGAGGCGACTATGCACCTTGTATACTTGTAGAACAATTCTTTTAGAGTAGTAAACATATCCTCAACACATGGTAGTAGAATATACAGCGTTTTTGGTTTGTTTGTTGTTTTTTTTTAATAATACTAATGGGAGGTTGTCCCAGGGGCATAGGACCAGGAGAGAGGGAAGCTGCAGGCAAGCCCCAGTCCAAAGTAAAAAAGAAAAGAAAACCCCAAGGTACCTGTTGCAGGAGCCGGGAGGAACAAGGAAATGTGTGGTGGGAAACCGCCCAAGCAGTTCATTAACTGTGCCTATATCCAGCTGGAACTGGGTGACGTCAGGAAGAGATACCACCTGGCAGAGATAAAGAGTGGCCCCAAAGGCACTGGAGGGATGCTGAGGACCAGAGGACCGATGGGGAACCACCGGGCAGAAGACATCCAGCTGCTGCAGCCGGCAGTGGTGGCAGCGGCAGTGGGAGACGCAAAAGATCCCCAAACTGGGGAAGACTGGTGGGGATTGAAGATGCTGGCAGAGAGGCCAGCAAAGGCGGCAGCAGTAGCTGCTGCAGCAGCGGAAGCAGCAGGAGCCACAGAGGATCCCTGAGCCGAGGACTGGCAGGGATTGAAGATGCCGGCAGGGAAGCTGGCAGGGAGGCTGGCTGCGATAGCGGCAGCGGCCGAGGCAGGAGCAGAGGGGAACCCTGAGCTGGAGAAGCCCGACGGGGGATGAAGGAACTGGCGGCGAGACCCGCAGCGACCCCTGGGAGAGCCGGCGTGGGAGCCCTAATTACAGGCAACAGGGTCGCAGCCCTGATTAGGGAAGAGAGAGAGAGAGACCCCGGCTGGGGTGAAACTATGGGTCCCAACCCAGAGGGTGCCCTAGTCTAAGGGAATTGGGGGGCTAAGGGTGTATGGAGCTCGCACTATGGGTGCGCCGTTTCCTTTGGCATTCTCCCTCCTGTTGTTCTTTTCTGTTATGTCTCACTAGTAGTCACGGTGGTGGCTTTGTTCATTTTGCTTCACATCGGGTGTTTCAGAGAAAAGGGATTTAGGATCAAGGTATTGACAGTGGTCCTCTTTAGGGCTTGTCTATCTCAGACCCCTTTGTGAGGGTAGATTAGCAGAGTCCGTAGCACCAGGCAAGGGTGGCTAGGACCCCGTAAAAGGGGAGAGAGGAGCCACGCAAGAACACACTGAGAGCTACCGCCAGCAGGCCCTGAAGGCTAAGGGCACCAGAGAAGACAAGCCCGAAAGCCAAGGGTCTCCATACCCTCCCACCAGAGTTTGGTCAGGACCCAGGGTGGTCGCTGTCGAGAGGCAATACGGAGACCAGGGAGCACACCAGCAGGGGCTAGCCGCGAATAGACTTGGAGGCCCGTCTCAAAAAGGGTGGTGCATGGCCAGGGTGTAGGGAAGGTTGGAGCCCCGTGAATGCCCGCCTAGATGCATGATGGCGCTGGAGGCACCCTCAAAGGAGACCCCCTCCACTGAAGAACCATTCAAAGCTGTGGCAGGAGAGTTAGAGGGTCTCCCTGAAGTCAGCCGAGGTACCCTCTGGGTTCCACACGTGGGCCCCTGGCACGTAAGATCAACTGCTCGGGCAAAGGTGGCACGGGAGTGTATAATACAGTGGAGGCGGGCATAGGGGTGATAACATGAAAACATGTAGTTGAACATGATAGACACAAAGCATGGTGACTGTTGAACTCTCATTAGATATCTTGTCTTACGACTCCTGGGGGAAGAGGGCCATACCGGCATTCCCTCTAAGTAGGTACCTGTGGCTGAAGCCCCACTCACCCTTCCCAGTACTGACTTTCCAAGCATGAGATCTGTTCCTCTGACATGATACTGTTGCATATCCAGACATGTTGCTACAACAAACCTACAGATATCTCACATGCACTGAGTGAACCCCGGACTCCTCACCTGGTTCTTCCTCCAGCCTGGCGAGCCACAGCAGAATGTTTACAATGAACCCTCTCAAATTGGACACAGTATTAAAGACAATCACCCTTTGTAACTACTACTTCCCTAATAACTATTAGAAAGGAAAATGTCAAAGCTTGATTTTACTGATTTTATTTTCTTCATATAGACTAATCATAGAAATTATATATGGACAAATATGGGTGTACTGCATGGCCTCCCCACTCGCAAATAATTGAGACAGTGGGTGCATCTACACAACACACTTACTGAGCAGTAGCCTAATAACACTGTGCAGTAGCATGCTGGTCAAAAACCATGCTAATATGCTACTGCACAGTGTTATTAGACTACTGTTCAAAAAGTGACACAAAAAACTGTGTGCCAGCACTACTGTGTAGTAGCACGAGTTATTGCACATTTAGTTAGTACTTCAGTAAGAAAATACTAAATGAAATGCACAGTAACTACTGCACATTAATGAATGTATAGACATGGCCATTTAGAGCTTAAAATTCACAAATTGTGAGTCGATAATAATTACATTTCTTGTCATTCCAGCCGCCATCAGTGTACATCTCTACACATTTTTCTGCTCCTTTACCATTGGGCTCACTTGGATTCCATTTAGTATAATTCAGGGGTGTCTCATCCATATAACTGAATTCACCTGGGATTGGACTTTCTTTTATGCCCAGGTAAGCATGTCTGTTAAATCGTTTCACAATACTTAGAATAGCATTGTTCTCCTCTTCATTCCTGGGAGCTGCAACAGAGCCACCGGCTCGTTCACACACATCTAATACAGTTGCAAAATCAACTTCTTTTCCATTGGTAGCAAACATTTTTTCTCCCACTCTTGTAATTGTCCCTTCCAAGGCAAGGACTACAAATTAAAGAGAAACATTTAGTTAGTTGTTTTTGCCTTCTTTATACTATAACTATTTGGAAAGGTACAGGAAAAAACTGTGAGGAGATGGATGAAAGAAAAAGGTGAAAATAGGGGAAAGAAAAAGGAAAGAGACAGGGGGAAAAAGAGAAGAGGGCAGAAGAAAGGAGAGGGAATGGAGGTGGTGGTGTTCTCACAATTTTAGCAAGCCAGGTTTTCGGCACTTCTTTGCTTATGATCATTTATTACCCATGTAGTGTCTCTGTTACATGGAATCCCAGCCCTGCTCAGGCCTCAATGAGCTGGTCTTTTTATTTTTTAATCTTTTAACAAAGGAAAAGAAATTTTGACAAAACTTGTGGTACCTCCCACCATTTTCCTACCAGCTCAAATGATTACATTACACACAGTAGTTGAAGCCTGCTGAGGACCTGATCTAGTGTTATACAAGTGCCTGTGTTTGACGAAATCCCATGGATATTATGTAATACACAACACAGTACGTATAAATATGTCAGGGACATTGAACATTTTAGACTGATATTTTTAAAAAATAAGGTTTCATAAATCAGAATGATATTTCTTCCAATATCCCTGCTACTCTGGGGGAATCTGGTCCTATGTTATATCCCCACAGATCTCTTCTCCTTTTAGAGAAGAAAATGGGGCACCTGTCTTGGGTGTCCTATTGCTAGAAATGGCCCTGAGCAGCCTCCTGTTAGGGATTCCTGCTCTTCACATAGGGAGTTTTGTTTATGTGTGTACTGTCCCGAGAGGCTCTCTGATTCAACAGAGTTGGGCTACACATGTTACCATGGGTGAATCTTGATCCTCCTTATAATTAACAAACTTGAAGAGTTACGCCCAAGGGAGTTTATTTTCCGCACTGATTAGATTTGCAGATTAGACTCAGAGTGGGAGCTGCACCTTAATCTGCTGCTCCTGGTGAAGGAAAACTACTCTGAAAAAGCAACATGTTAAGCGAGAGGAAGAGCACGTCTGTTGATGTGTAACTCTTTAGTTTATTACATCTTCTACGCACTAGTCTATGTTCGAGATGAGTACAGCAGGTTCCTTTGTACTAGCCTTAATCCCTTTCTGTTCTGTTCTATAGAGGCCTGTATATCCCATTTATCAACATACTATCTGATCATTTCTACCCTGTGCCTATGCATTTCCAGTGTAAAAAGTCCAGCACTTTATAGTTGTTCTAAGTACCATCCCTGGTGTTACCATCCCTGGTGTTGTACACCCTGAGCTAGCTCTGCACACTAACTCTGGACCTAGAAATCCTGTAGTCATATTGTTTTTCAATCACTGGCTAATTAATTCTGCTGAGGAACAGTGCACATTAGCTCGGGTGCACTGCTGTGCTGAAGTGGATATACTGCTTACGGTCCTGGATCTACTGCTCATAGGTTATATATGCATGCTGAGGTCCTATGGTCATAAATGACTTGCAAGAGGACACAGAGGGAGTATATGGAGCAGCAGGCCCTGAACCTAAATCTCTTTTAAGGGCTCATTCCTTATCAACAGGGCTATCTTTCCTCTTCTTGCATTTTATAAAAATTACTCTTTCCTTATTTAAGTGGTGGCAGAAAGAATAATTTGTGTTTTGGAATGGAACATTAAAAATGTTGCTTACTTTGGTATAAGTTGGGTTTTCAAAGTTTATTTTGTATACTATGTTTAAAACAAATTTTGAGGACAAAAATAAAATAAAAATGTTTACCTCCTTCAAGTGCAGCAATGTGATGTCTTAAGGTACTTAAGATACCTTCTAATTCAGTGTCAAGAGAAGCAGGTAGTCCTACAGGTAAAAAAAAAATATTTGTACAGTTAGGCTAAAATGGTCCCCATTGACAGATACAATTCAGTGTATATGACTAATCAACAAACTGTAGTGGGTTTGATATACGTTTTTGTCATTTTCTCTAGTGGAAAAATTGGTCCCGTGCATATTACATATATTTTATTAATATTTATATAGTTCCCTGTATATTATATAAAGAAAACAAAAATTAAAATATTTTAAAAATCAAAGATTGTTTTTTCTTTATAATGACTCCTGAAACTTTTGAAGAGTAGTTGCTTATTTTGATGTTATGCAGTTTGTGACTTAATGGCCACAATGGATTTTTTTTTCTTGCAGTACTTACAGAATGGGAATTCTATTATCTGTTCATACTGCTGCTTCAGTTAAAAGCACCTCTCATAATTTTACAGTGAAAATCTGCTTATTTAATCTCTCTAAAATTGTTATTGGAGGGTTCCATCAAGGGTGTTCCATGGAACTTATGTGAAATATGCACAATTTATGAGTAGAAACTTTTTAAATATTCCCAACACTGCCAGTCTAACATGGGAAATAAGAGGCAAACTGTATTCCTTCTCATATAAATAATCACGAGTAATAAAGGTTCTGCAGGTTCCCACTGCAATCACTGGAGTAGCAGACTGGAATTTGGTAAAGGAATGTGTTGCTGCACAGAAGAAGTGGAGTCCTTATTCTCTGAGGTACAGTGGCTCTGCATTTGTAACAAGGATGACAATTTAGTCAGTGAAGTTAATAAAGGTTGGATTGAGTCCAGTCACTGATCATCTGAAGATAAAAGTGATACTTTCACAAGGGGCATATACACATGTTCACCATACCAGATCTATGATCCCATGATTTACTTTAAGCCATGAGATCGTAGATCAGACATGACGTATACACGTGCCAGTGCTTAGAGCTGCACTGGGAACCTGATCTAAGTAAGTTGGCTAGTGCATCTGTGGGGGCAGGGGAGTTGGTAGGTTGGTGGAGGAGGAGCTCTCTATCTGGGCATGGGGGTGGGGTCAGGAATTAAATAGCCCAGTCAGGTTGGGGGGGATGCTGGAGGTAGGAAGAGCATAGTTCTGTGTTTATACTCTGAAAGTGTACAGCTCGTCATTAGATCAGGCTGACCACTTCCAGATCTAACTTAGTTCACCTCCTCAGGCACTTAGATCAACCTAACCCTACTTTGATCCATCTAAGTGTCATGTCTGCACAAACCCATAGTTACTTTCAGGATTGGAACTACGCTTTAATAGATAGAGTTTCTTTTTCCTGAACTACTTTGCATAAATCAGAATTGTTCATTGTTCTGGTTAATAAAAAACTATCTTTATTACCTCGTTGTCCAGGCTCCCCTCTTTCCCCCTTCTCGCCTTGGTCACCCTTGGGCCCTGTTAACCCAGGAAGCCCATCTCTTCCAGGAGGACCCATCATGCCACCAGGTGGGCCCTGAGTACCTGAAAAAGAGAAACACAGGAATAAAAAGACCTGTAAAACTTCCTGGAAATCAACACTTTTTTTATGAGAAAATCAGATTAAACATGGTTTCATAGCAATTGACTTGCTATGACACAGACAGCATTACACTTGTAATAACTTCATTACTGCCCAAAGATCTGGTGAAGTCTGGATGTATAGCATTGGCAGAATGCTCTCTCCCTGGAATGAGCAACCTTCAGAATCTGAATCACTGGAAGTTTTGATTGTCTTAAGTACTGAAGCTGGAGAAAGCTTTTTGCCTGTTCTCCTAAGAATATTGCACAGAGTATGTATTAAAATATTACTGATGTTCATAGCCACATGCTTCAGAAGTCTACTAGAAGCTTCTGAAAGACACTTGCTTATACTTCTTTACTGTTGAATTAACTCTTAATTAATTACTATTCTTAACACTATTATTATTAACATTTATACATTTATTTAAAATGCTTTTGTCGAGAATTTACAAAATATATTACTAGGAAATTGTAACAGAAAAAGGAAAGAGGCTCTATCTATGATTCACTGATCAATAGGATCCTTGACACCCCACTCAAACCCCACCCAGCACACAACTCCAGATACTCTCCTATTTTAAGGGAATCCTGGCAGTTGCAGCAGTTTCTACCCAATGGTCACTTTTCAACTCATTTTCTGCATGCCCCCAAGTGAACATGAATTATAGATCAGCTGAGTAAAGTGTGCTACAAAGGGTCTGAAAGCCATGATTTTCCTGCAAGGAAACTATAACTTGAAAGAAAGAGCTCTAATTGTCTCTCTTCCTCCTTTAGATCCCCATCCTTCTGTCCAGTTCAACAGCTGCTTTTCTCCTCTCATTTTCACAGGGTGTGCTGCCTACATTTCCCCAACATTTACTTTCTGCCTTTCTATCTCCTCAGCTATTCACCACTGGAAGTTGCCAATACTAGCAAAAACTCTATACAAATAGGAACAGCAGGGTTATTCCACTGTCAGCAAAAATTCACTATGAAATTCCATTGTATATTAAATTAAAAACATGTAGTCTTGTTTCACACTACTGGACAAACAGTTGATTAAAAAAATGAGAGACAGTTAGGGAAGAATTTTATTTCACCTAGTGGATGGACAAAGTGCAGCTTGTAACTCGAGTAAATGTAGGAGATAATTGTTGCAGGTACCTGGTGGGCCTGGATCTCCTTTCATACCATCCCTTCCATCTCTTCCAGGTAATCCATTTGTTCCTGGGGTGCCAGGGATTCCAGGAATTCCAGTACAGTGTTCCTCAGCATGACATGCCACTAAGAAAGCAACCACTGCTCCAAGTATCTGGGGCAGCAACATTGTTCAAGACAGCTACAAACAGTAAAATATTTATCATGCAATGATTGACTGAGAAAAATAGAAGCTTGGGGTTTCCTGTTAGGAATACCTAATAAATATTAAATCTTCACTTCAAATTTTGTTTTAAATAAAGATTTCAATTCAGGTTTGATTTTTTTACTTACAGTAAAATTGTGAATGTGTGGGCTCATTGACATGTTAATTAATATGCAGTACCTTGCAAAAGGAAGTACTAAATAAATGTGCAGTAGGCTGTCCTACTGAGCATTAGCACACTCACACACTTTTACATGATGGCTAATGTGCAGTACTTTTACTACTGTGCATTAGCCTAATAGCATGGCCTGTGCCATGACACTGTAATGTGCAGCCAATTAATTTACAGTGCATTAAACATCTCATGTAGATGTGCCCTGTATCTAGAAAGACCTGACTGGTTTAATTATATCAACACGAGCAGTTAGTCATTTGGTGACAGTGGCCAGATGTGGCTAACTAGCTCTGTAGTAAAGTGTTACTATCTACATGTGTGCCCATATTAGCATGAATGACATGTGGCCCAGGCAACTGGAGGGGGACGGCAGTGGTGGCAGTATTGGCAGTGCCTTTTTGCAGGGGGTGCACCATTGTTCCTGCATATTAGGACATAGTAAATTAATTAGCCCTGCTGTAGGATACTGTTGATCAAGACAATACTATCTTGCAGCAGAGTAGTTAAGTGTGCCAAAATGCATGTGTAGATGGTGACTGATGCTGGCTGGGGCATGAGAATACTACAGTGTGGGGGCTGCTTAGTGGCTAGCCCTGCACTGTAGCAGCCTCATGCTCATGGCTCAGCCAGCCCCTCTGCAGCACATTGAGCTGGGGCAGAATGGTGCTGGAATTTATTGCTACAGCTAACTGTATGTGTAGTTGCACCCACAGTGTATTACAGGCAGTGTGGATAAAAGCAGTTCCGAACGTTAACTTGTAAAAAGGATGAATTCCCATGTTACATACAGCAGAAGCAAGAATAGATGTATTTATGGAGCAGAACAGACTTATGAACCACACCAAATCCAAATGGCCCTGAATGGTTGCAAATATTAAAGAAATAGGAAATGTTTTGATTAAAAGGTTCTTATTTTTGGACAAGCACCACAGCCAGTTGATATTTATTTTAAAAAATGAACAACTTTGAATTTTTCATTAAATATGGTTTTGTTTTAATCATTACTGCTCCTTATTTTTTATAGAGAGCTTTAATAAAAGTACTTGAAGCACCAAGTGACCATGTTCAATTATTATACTGATTAGTGCTATGAACACCATAATCAGAAAATGGTATGCTACTAATCCAAAGGAAAGTTTTGTAGCAATGATAGGATACAGCTAGCTTGACATGCATTTACATGTAGTATTATATATCTCTGACCTTTTTTACAAGTAACAGAGTATTTTATACATCATCAAAACCTTACAGACCATTTTCTGACACATGGATCTTGTTTTGAACAAAAAATTCCGTAAGTACAGTAAAGCTTAAGGGCATTGACAGTAAGCTCTGCAGATTTTCTGGGCATCAATAATCTTATCTCCTGTACAATGCCTTTTCTGGTATGTGGCTATTATGAAGTGCCAAAGTATGTTTTAATCTTGGTGCCAATTTAGCATTTTGGCATTATAGTTCACCGTTCTACAACCCTATGTATATACCAAATCATTCTGAGAATATAAATCAGTGGTTAAATCTAGCAAGCTGGAAATTGCTAAAAGTTAAATCGATGGACTGTAAGGCAATACTTCAATTAGTAGCATAATTCAACTAAAACTGTAACAGAGAGGATTAAGTTCCCTAACAACTGTCCCGTTTTAGTCAGGCAACCTTGTCCTTGGTTGGACAACTCATACACAATGTAAATATAACAAGAAGCTTAATTTCTTTTCATAAATCATAACCCATCTCTTCTAAAAAAATCCGGACTTTTTGTAGTTAAGAAGCTAATTAGTTAATAGTTATACTTTTTTACAATACATCTTATGTGTTGAATCCTGCTTTCATTGAGGTCAATTATAAAATGTTCAACATCAGTGGTACAAGACTGATAACTGCTCTGTTTCTTCTTATATCAGCAACTGGAACGCAAATTATATTTTTTATATCAAGACATACATAAAAAACTTAGTTTACTGCACAGTAATGAAAACTTACTGTGCAATACAGGTGCGTATCTGTATGTGTGCACCAGTACTCCACAAAAAGTATGGTGACTTATGCCTACTTGGGCATAAATATGTTACCGGCATGATGCAGGTAGCAAATTTGTGTCCAAGTAGTTATCGCGCAGTAAGGCACGTGTAGATATCTTACTGTGAATAAACCCTGTGTACGTGGACCGACTTGGGACTAACTTTAGTTTCAAGTCAGTCCACACACAGCTTTACTGTGCTATAACACCTGCATGTGTAGATGCTGTAAAAACCGCTTACTGCACAGTAAATTTACTACACAGTAAATGTACATGCAGACACCCACTGTTTCACAAGAAAAATAGGATTGACTTCCAATATTAATGCTTATTATTAGGCAATACACATCTCTGAGATATGGAAATGTAATTACAATGGATATATATTTCCCTAGATGCTACTTGTCCATTTGGATTCATTTGGCTGGGCTGCTACACAGGAAGGATCCAGGTGAGGAGCACACTGGTACACTTACACCCTCATTTGATTCCTGCTCCATGCAAAGTTTAAACCAATTGCCTGGCAACAGCATTCCTAATCAGGTAGTGCTGAGGGAACCACTTGAATTCATGGCTCATTGTAATCTCTCTGTAATCTCATTGTAATCCCTTCTAAACTCTTCATTCCACAAGTGTTAATGACCCTCTCCTTTTTAATAGTCTTGATGTTCCACAAGAGCTATCCTTTGTTCTTCAATTCTATTGTCTGTTAGCTGTTCCTAGTAATGAAGCTCCTATTTCACAGCCGTGCAAATTGTTCTTAATCATTCCAGTGAAGTTATATTTGTCTTTTGCTTCAATCGTAAACTGAATAATACAGCCCTAGGCCTCTCGTATATTAGTAAATCTTTAGTTTTTTCCTTTAAATTGGAAAAAAAATGGGTGTTGTGTCATGTGTGATGGATGCACCTCACCATTTGAACCCTCCTTTTAAAAAATCTAGATTCACCCATGGTCCTGCATCTACTGGAGTCCCACTAACTTCCAGCTACTTAATCAAGATGCACCATTGGGGTTCTTATCACTTGCAGGTCAAGATGGAAAGAGCAGCTATTCAGCCTGAATTAAGCCCTTCTTTTCCCCTTCTTTCATAAGAACCTGGCAGCCTTTGAGCACTTTCTCAGCTGATGAAATCTCTAATAGGAGTAGACTAGAAAATTACCATTAAAGGGAAGTATAATACATCATTTGAAAATAATTGAAGGAGAAAATATAAAGGGACTGTTGGCAGCATAGCTTAGAGAAATTCTTTGTTCAAGAAAAATTCAACTTACCCTTCAGCTCCAAAGTAGAATAAAGAAGAAGCCTTCAGAAGGCCCCTGTATATAGTGCTTCTACATTACACAACCTTGTACTGAAGAGGAGACTTAATAAGCAGTTTGAATGAGATTTTCCCCCCTTTCTTTTGTTTACATACTCCACCTGTATGCAAATACTTAGAAAAATTTAACATGTGGTGCCAAGTGACATTTCATTTCTCTTCTACAGAAATAAGTAAAAAATGTAAAGGAGAAAAACACCCATTCGTGAACAGGTTAGATAAGCAATATTTAAAAATGAATTCAAAGGATACTCATTTTTTATAGTACTTTCAATTCACGCAATTTATATTAAAACTCGACTGCTTATTGTTATCTTTTAAAAATGTTGTATTGTAATATTCTTACTCTCTGGAGTTATATGAACAATAGTTTTATAAATCTAGCATTAATCTTTCTTAAGAAGAAGGATACTCTTGAGGTTATAGGAAGCAGGGATGTCTAGTAGACACTAGAGCTGTGCAAAACAGCACTGTTTCATTTTGACTTCCATTTCAACGTTTCAGCAGGACAGTGTTTCATTTCAAGTTTCATTTCATTTCAAAACCACTGTTCGGTTTTGTTTTGTTGAAACTGTTTTGCTGTTTTGATGCTGCTTTGACATTTTGCCCATAGGCTATAATGGGGAAGCACAAAACTGCCTATAACTTTGTCATTTCTTGGCAGATTTGGATTAAAACATCAGGGGTGGTATCCCCTTTTGAGGGCATGATGTGTGACAAGTTTCAAGGAGATAGGTGCAGGGATTTCTGGGAAACTGCACCTCAAGATGTGTGACTGTGTGTATATGTTAAGGTGCAACTGTTTTTCTGCCCCTCCCACAGAGACGGGGATTGGAAGGGATCTCAGGAAAGGATCACAGTTACTGACCACCTATACATGTTAATATCAGAGCAGTCCTTCCCTTCTCTTCCCCCTCCCTCTTCTTAGTTTTGGTTTCCCTGCAAGCAAGTCCAGCTTCAAAACTTGAAATGTTTCGAAACTTTTGAAACATTTTGACTTGTTTTGTTTTGAGGTTGTTTCAAAGCCTTTCATTTCATTTTGATTTCACTGTTTCACGCTCAAAATGAGTTGAAATAGCGTTGAAATGAAACACCCGGAGAAATTTCGCGCAGCCCTAGTAGACAAAGCACTGAACTGTGACTTGGGAGACCTGGGTTTCCTAGATCCCACTGGGGTTTTAGATAGAAGACAGATTCCAACCGGCTCAGGTTCTATGAATTCCCAGCAGCAAGCCTCAGGGAAGCACTTAAGTTTCTTAAGAGCCTCCAGGGTGGTGGTGGTGCTGGGGAAGGGGGGAAAGGGGGAGCTGATTTAAACTTTGGATTTAGCTGCTCAAAATAGCAGTTAGATGCCTACTTTACCTCTCTCCACAGTGTCTAGCACTACAAGCCTAGGGCTGTCATCTAGGACATGTCTTCTAAACAGTACTATTACAAAACAATTATAGTACATAATCTTTTCTTTTCCAATATATCACATGCTTCATATTACTTAGAAGATATATGAAAGACAAATCTGATTTATATGTAACACAGGTAACATATACATATTTCTTCCACATTCCTCAAACATAATTAAAATTAGTTGAAATCATTAAATAGCAACTGGGACAATCACAAAAATCAAAGAAGTAGATGCTTAAGGTAATCTCACCACACATTACTTGCATCTGAGTAGGTAAACTTCTCATGGGGAAAAATGGACCACAAAGGCATTCAATGAGTAAAAGTTTTCTACATTTGTTTTTCATTAACCCAAAACATTATACACACTTTGTTTTGTTTTTTTAACAATTTTATTGAAATATAACAGATTATTCTTGTATCATATAAGTTTTCAAAGGATCTAAGATACTGTGAATTGTGAAATATTTGAATTCAGGTTTATCTAGACTGCAGTTCAACAGCTCTCCCAACCATACAGTTTCTTCACTAAAAGATATCACAAAAGCACTTGACATTTTCTGGACCATCACTGCAACACCAACCCTTCAACTGTACTCACATTATTTTGTTATTAGATCTGGTTTCTTTCATGCAATGGAAGAATATTAGGCTAGTCTGTGATATAGGAAAATGTGAGTTACAGTGAGGGATTGAATGCACATTGCTTTGTAACACTATAATTACATCAAAATCAGCAATGGTGTATTTGAATCTAAGTAAATTAAGCCATAAATGAAAGAAACTTTAAATTTTTGCTAGAATCTTGTGTCCTTGGAATACAGTTGAGATATACAATGTTCTGGGACATACTTATGGGCACTTACAGGTGATGACCAAGGTGAGCTCCAGACAGAACACCAACAGGAGCCAGATTCATTGATATCAATGGATCCAGGATTTTACACACTATCTAGGAATGTCATTAAATTAAACCATAGGATTACTTTCAGTTTCATTTTTCCCCTGTACTGTTAAAGGCAAAAAACTACCATGTGCCTAAGTTGAGGTATTCTAGGAAAACTGGTAAAAGGCTTCATTTTCATAAGGGCTGACCACCCACAGGTCCATGTTGACTTGAATGGGAGATGAGCATGCTCAGCATCTCACCATGCCCCCTATCCCCCAGCATGAAAAAAGACTTGTTCTTTGAAATGTAATAACTGCCTATAACAGTTTAAAATACTCAATAATTTTCTTTCATGTAGGTTCAAAAATTGCAGTTTCTTGGGAGCAAGGCAAACTCCCTATTTTGCTCAGGACACCTCTTGTAAGGAGTTCATTACCAACAATTTGGTAATGGACCAGACTGCATAAAGGAATTTTATCTGATTGCTCTATTGTTTCTTTTCCAGACTGCAAGACATTCATCTTAGACATATTATTTAGTTGCAGTCGCTGATAGCAGTTGCCCTAGTTTGTCCTTGGTACACTGTTTGCATGTAAGCAGGTGTGGTCAAGTTTTTCAATCTTTGCTTGTTCAAATCAAGTTCATTACTGTACTTGTCTCATATTTCTGCTGTAACTCATACGCCACATTTTGTTGGCAGAAGAATTCAATATTTTAAACCAGAATCGATTACTTAAAAGGAATTTCTTCTACATACTTTGGCTGTAAATGGGTGTTTCATTGTTCCATGGAGAAAGTGATGTGTCCTATGACCCTACAGACATACAACTTCACCATCTTGCTTCATGTCCTGCTGAAGTATGTGGAATAAAATGTGCTATCACTTTTTTCCCCAAAACAGTGTGTTGTGCATCTGTAAGGTTTATACAGGTCATTCCCAGGGGAAAAAATGGCCAGAATGAGTGCTCTCCCAGGACACCTACTAGTGGAGAAGCAGCAGCGCAACATAGAAGGGCAACCTGTGTAAATGACTGTGCTGTTCCTGTTTTGATCCAGGTCAAACCCTGGAATAATCAAGCCTGTGTGAAGTGAGACATCAATTTACTGCCTTTAACAGGAGGAACTTGCGTCTCCACCCAGAAACCTGGAAATTAAATTTCAATATCTAGTTGCCTTTGATAATTATATTTCCCCATTTACAGTGAGTCAAAAGGTTCAAAACAGAGAATTTTATTGTTACGGGGAAAAATGGGACACAATAAACTTGGGAAACCCATTAATTGATAAATCAACAATATGAAGACAGATTTCCTTCACGGGTGTTTTGGCAGTAGTCATAACCCCTGTCCTTCTCTTATGGTTGTGAGCACAGGGCCTCTCTTGCTCTGTTTACTAATATCTTTAAAAAGTGAACTCCCTGTTCCTTTAGGGCTTCAGACCACAAGATTTACATTCTTTTTGTATTTGATTTCTCTTATGTGTTTTCTGTGGCATTTATTAGTATAATTTTTCCTTGGTTTTTCATGTAAATACAGAGAAAATGTGCTACACCACTGTGTCTTGAATCAAGGAAGATATGTGGGAGGGTGGCCCATATGCCACATCTCCCTGGACTGCCCTCTTTTGCACAAAACTTTCATAAAGTCACAGTAGTAGGCCTCTGGGAGATCCTTTGGGTTTGTTCACATTGCCCCCTGCCTCTGCTATGAAACATCACAGCAAAACATTCCACATTGGCTCTGCATGAGCCACATCCTGAATAAATATAACATAGGCACTTTCGTGCAATAACAGCCTGAGCCAACAAAGGTATTCAAGACAAAACTTACTACATGTGCCCAGTGCGGCATAGAAGGAATCCTTTACCTTTTCTGGGATATAGCATGTTTAGAGCATATGCACCATGCTTCACTGTGGCACAGAGTAGACATACCCTTTGGAGCCTGAAGAAAATTTTCCAGACTTGTAACACGTAAATTTTGACTGAGTTGGCAGAAATCTTAAGCAGTGTGTGAGAGAGACAATTGCACCTGTCATTAGGGCTGTGCAACGCTTCAGTCACTGATTCAATTTGGTGGAGATTTGGCCCAATTTGGTGGCCGAATCTCCAAATCTGAATCAAATCAGGAGACCCTTTAATGTCTCTGAATCAAATCAGAATCCTCCGAATCAATTCAGGGAGATTCAGAGAGATTTGATGATTCGGACATAGACATAGCTTTAAATGTTTTTTCTACATACCTCAAGGTACCAGGTGGCTCATGAATGCTGAGATGGTGGGGCAGATGGAGCATCCCACGGAAGCATTGGGGGGGTGGTCCCCAGCAAGCTCGACGGTGGACTCAGAAGTGGACCAGAAGCACTTCCGGTCCACTTCTGGGTCTTTCGCTAAAAGCATGAGGGGGAACCCCCCACCCCCTGGCTGAGTGACTGCTGCCTTTTGGGTCTGGGGGGCACCCGGGGTCCTCCGCAGCCAATCAACTTCCAGGCCCACTTCTGGGCCCACTTCTGGTACTCCCGTCCGATTTCCAGGTCTGCCACCGAGCACATGGGGGGCCCCCCCGTGCTCCTGTGGGACGCTCCATCTGCCCCACCATTTCAGCGTTCATGAGCTGCACCTAGTACCTCGAGGTATGTAGAAAAAACATTTAAAGCTGTGTCTATGGCTGAATCACTGATTCTCCAAATCAGCATCAAATCTCCAGATTTGGATTCAGCCAAATTGAATCAGGACAGTGATCCAAATCAATGAATCAAATCACTGTCCCCTGAATTGGACTAAATCTGAATTCAAATTGAATACAGCCC